TGTCCTTCATTGCCCTCCATGAACGCAACAAGGCCAGAAACACACATCAAGCAGCAACTTTGAGTCACACTAAACTACACAATCTACAAATGCAGTAACTAAAGCATTTAAAGGGAACTTCCTAATAATCTAAACTACAGCTGGGCAGGATCTAGTCATCACAGTGCTAACTAGTATTCTAACCTTTTATTCAACGTTCATATGGCGTTTGATATTTTCCATTCTGATCCATTTCAAGCATTAATACAATAATAAACAGAGAAGTGTGATGGGTTATGCGGCCTCTCTTACTTCAACTCCCTTTGCACCCATTTAAACATTATTTTAAGCATTAAAAATAGAGGTTTTTGTTCTCCGAGGGTCTTACCGGCCACTGCGGCTGCCGCGAGCCTGCGCTTCTGTACGGGACTGTTAGTTTCGGGCTCAGCGGTTTTCTGCAGTGTGAACAACGGGGCGCTGAAGGGGTTCCCCCGGGCCAGTTGGGTTAGTGTGGTCGGATACATGTCTGATGGTGGACCTGAATAAAGAACAAACATTGGTTAGGCAGTGAACACAGCTAATGTGTCCATTAAACGAGTCATCATTTGTCCTCTCATCATGTGGTTCTATGGAGAGGTCAACGGCCCGCGCTCTTGAGGAAGACGTTGTGATGAAAATAACACTAAACTAAAGCTTTTAACACGTTACGAAGTATGTATCTGAGAAAGGTGTGAGAAGACGGTTTAATATGTGTGTGACAAACAAGACAAATGTGTTGTAAAGAGGGAGAAACTCTTACTTTAGAGAAGTTGTCGCAAAATGGCGCCTCCGTCCTCTCCTCTACCGGTGCGCATAGAGACCGAGCGGTGAGTGAGAGCGGCGGAAGACCGAACCGGAAAAAGGAAGTGATGCGTCACTGCAAGCCACGCCCACTACTTTACAAACCCCACTATGGGGAAGTCTTGTCTCATGAATATTAATATGGAAGGTGTATTTTTTGTATGTATCAATATATGTACATAGTAATATTAATAAACAGTGAGCTAGGAACAGTGCCAGTGATAAAAGAAAACTATTTTACATTCTTTCAAATTCTTTTGTTTTCAATTTGCTAATGACATTTTACTCTCCCTCTCCCTCTCTCTCTCTATATATATATATATGTGTGTGTGTGTGTCTGTGTACTGTGTAGGATATAATAAAAATGTTGTCTTATACAATTAATTTTAAATTCCACATTCATTAAAATAGTTTCTTTACTAAATAAATATTTTAAACACAACTGTAATGTTCCGCAAAAATGTAAAAGCAAAAAAGCTATTAGAGCGTGTAATATTATTAAGTATGATTGACACGTGACACATTTTACTTTTTGTTTTGAGTAGTCTCAAAGCCCGTCTACGGAAAGCCTGGCCACTCCCTATTAAGTCCTATTGTACCGACTTTTTGGTTGTAGTTCCACCAGAGTTCCACTGGGGGCAATAGTCCGAGTGCAAAATGAATGGGAGTCTATGGGGCTAAACGGCTAAATTTGTCTTTTTCACCCGATTGTCATTGAGAAATCTTAGATTTGAATGTAGGTTTTGCAAGTCCAACATGGGTTATAGGTCGAAAGTTGAATGAACGAGTACTTATGTCCTTTCGATTTCTTACAGGTTGAGTTGTTGTTGCCCATAACACGCTAGCATTCTGCTAATGGACGCTGATTGGTCAGTGAAGGACTGATTACGACCAGAGATACCGCTTGATGGCATCGTGGCATCCGAAGCGGGACCACATGTATTTACCGGTACCTGTGTCAGTTGTGTAGTAGATGCCTCGAGAGAAAAGAAAGTGCAGAACGCAAAAGCATAGACATAATAAATACATAGACGCCCTGATGGCCGCTTTGGAGCGTTGCTGCGATAGTTTTCTTATTGTGGAAAAAGCATTTTCTGTGATTGACCCGATTTTAGCAATAACAAAGATAACTGATGGATCCTTTATCTATGGTAATACGATATGGTACAACTACAGTGCAGTGCAAATAGTAAATATAAGATAAAGTGAGAAGTAATAGTAAATAGTTTAGTCAATAAAATAAACAAACAAACAGTACAGCAAATAAAATAGTAATGAAAAGGCTATATAAAATATAGGCTATATAAAAAAAAAAGACACAACCCTGTCTATTTTTCAGTTTTATTGATCAGTAAGAGACATTATAACAGTATAAGTAGCCTAAAAGGTATAAGAAGAGTTATACAAGACAATAAATAAAGTAAACGATTCAGACACAGCAGGATACAACGTTAAAATAGCCACAATATAAAGTTATGAAACTTCACTTTGCCGTCAGCCAAAACGATTTGCCAGGGAACAAGATTAATGAGACCAAAGATCGCCCGTTAGATATACACAAGACGAATTATATGTCATGTTTAACCACAAACGTCAGAAGCACTAACCGAGTAAAGGCTGTTCCAGGCGGGGTGCAGAGCGCTGAGACCCCGGTAGGATATCACAACTCCGAAAACGTCAGATCAAATTTTTAAATAAGCGCTATCTTTATAAATAAACCACATATTTGAGCTTTCGACAACTACATTGTCGACTGAAAAACTATTAAAACTACATTTCGTGACACAATAACAGTAGTATTTTTAAATTTCGCGGCTTCTCTAGTCTGTCTATGCGCGTAAGCACCATAAGTAAGCACCAAAGTGACTGAAGGATTGCCGTAGCAGGTCTCTGGTCGTACGATGTGTATGACGTCATTGACATTTTAAAAGACTTTTTAAAGCAAATAAGTGACTCTAAAAAATCTAACACCCAGCAATGTGTAATTTCTTTGCATCTTCTTTCGAATACAACATTCGAATTACTAGACAAAAAATTATATCCTGAGAAAAGTGGATTTTTAGGGGTATTGCTCCATAGACCTCCATTCATTCTGCACTCCGCCTGTGAGCGCCCTCATATGGACCCAGAGTGGAACTGCAACAGTTCAGAACCCGGAAGTTTAATGTGAGTGGGAGTTCTCCCCATATTAGACTTTCTCTGGTAGTCTTTTCCCCCCCTGATATAATGAAACACCAAAAATTACCTACCTGCGTCTTAGCCAATCAGACAGGCCAACTGGATAACGTCACATTACGTAATTAATATTCATGAGCCAAGCCTTCGCCATAGTAGATTTCGCTCGACCAGACAGGTCAAAAAAGAGGGGCGGGGCTTTCCCAGAGAGCATTACGCAAGAGCTTCCTCTCATCTCAAAGTCACGTCTGATGTCTTTCTAGTGTGTGTGAGACATATGTACATTATTCTTGTACAGCAGCTCATTTTTGCAAAATATATTTTGTATATGTATACAAGAAAAATGATCGATTATGGTTTGCTAGTTCTTGTGTGCAATGATGTATCTAAAGGTCAAACCTCCTGTAGAAATGGAAACACTCCTGGTTTAATACTATTGCTGGAATGTCGTGTTTGTGTGTGTGTGTGTGTGTGTGTGTCAGTCACTGAACTGACCTTGCTGTAAATACACAAGGAAGGGTCACCTCTGGGATCTCAATGGTTTCCTTTTATTTCACAACAGATTTGTATTGAATCAAGGATAAATATTCAAATCAATCCATATGCCCAGTTTTCCACAAATAGCTGCCTAAATACAAAGTGCAAATTGGACTTGTATACCATTCACTGCATTTGACACAGCAGTACAAAACTAAGATGTTAGTTAGTGGTTAGTGGAGTCGGTATATGTACATTTATTTAAAAGTAACCCACTGCATTTTAAAAAAAGTTGATAACTTTAGAGAAGACGTTAGAAAAATATTGCAGTTAAAACGTGATTAAACCGAGTAGCAAAATATAAAAACAAACCCCTGCAAATTACGATCGATGCATCACAAATGTATTGTTTTGAATGAAATGAATATATACTTAGTACATACGTCCAGAGGACCATAGCTTTGTTTTTAAAAATCACAGTTAAGAAATGAATTCAGTTTAGTCAGATGAATCACAGACGTCTGATTACAGTCAATAGCAGGCAAGTGTCGGCGGACTCATTATGGGTTTTAATATTGGCTACAATGCCACATCACATTATGAAAACATCACAAACACATTTAACAAGCCACCATTACCTATACAAAAAAATAAACTGCCTCTTACCAGAAGTGAAGCGTTATTTACTACACGAGACTTTCATATAAGATCACATTTTCTTTCAAGCTCAGGATAAAAAACAAATATCAATCTAAAAAGTCTAGTTCTAAAACCAGACATTATCTGAGCTGGTAGTTCAGTTAGCTTGAACATTTCAGTGCTACAAATCATTTAAACAAAAGCTACGGGATGAAACTCACGAAAACCGTCAAGAATACTGTATATCAAAGTCATATTTCACCACAAAAGCAACAATATTAATTAAAAAAATTTACTAAAAATATTTTTAATTAAGCACATCGCACCTGATTCTCATTACTGTAAAGTCAAAAATGATAATAATGTATCTAAATGTAATCATTGAAATGTTCATTCATGCCAATTTTAAGTAAAAACTGTTATTTGTGCCCAGACATGAATTATTATATTCATTTGAATTTTTTTTATTTAATTACGTTTAATTACAGTAACACAAATTATTTATTTTTTTTGCACTATAGTAATGATTTTTTTTTATTTTATTTTTACCTTATGGTAATGAGAATGTGTTTTTTTCATTTCGCAACATAAATATTGATATCTTTTTTTATTTGTGGTGAAATATGACCTAGAAATTTCCTTGTGAGATTCACCCTACTATGCAAGAACACAATTTTCTCACTCTGGTCTCATTAGCAACACTTCCTAAAGTCAGATTCAGTCACGCTAAAAATAAACTTCACCAGGTTTATTCAGGAAAACGTAGATTTTTTTTTTTTTTGCAGACATTCAGCTTGAGGCTTTTCCTTCGAGCCGTGATGTGTGTGTGAAACCGAATTGTGCTCGTGTTGGCCGCGTCTTGGCACTTGAAGAAACACGCAGGTGAGTCCTAAACTCTCGTTGTGTGATTCTGAACGGCGAATGATTCACTGCTAGCGATCGTGAATGAACACTACACTTGTCTACGTCGTCTCGAATGCTACGAAAACCGTAAAATCCCAAAGCAAGATCAAAACACACGATGCACACAGAGGTTAAAGACTACTTGAAACACAAGTCTATTCAGATGTGACTGCTAGGTCAAACTGAAATAACCAGAATCCCCCCTCCCCAAACCCTGCCGATGCGTTGCTCCTTAAATGACTAGAAAATCAGTCTGACGGTAATGCATGCTGAAGCGGCTCGACGTATCCGCTGCTCACTTGCTGTCGCCACCACCTGATTGGTATTCCAGGTTAATGTAATTGATGATGGGTGTGATCAGATTGTCCTGGACATAGAGCTGGCAGGAGTCGATCTGATCGGCGGTGACGTTCTGGAAGGCGTAGTACAGAGACGCAGCCAGTGCGATGAACACTAGAAGCTTCAGCCAGACAGCGAACCAGCGGCGAGGAGGGGGACGAGCGGCGGGTGCTGCACTGCGGACGTCTGTGACGGAGGATTTAGTCGCGGTGTAAATGTTCTGCTGAAGGAGCGACTCCTCGGACCAGAGGTTCAGCGGCTTCACCGGACGCCCGGCCGCACCGTGGATCGGCCTCCGACATGTGGCCCTGATCGGACAGATAACATAAATGTGGGTTTAATTAAAGCACTGATTCCATTTTTTTCACTAACATATATATATTAGTGCTGTCAAACGATTAAAATATTTAATCGCGATTAATCACATTAATGTCATAGTCAACTTGCGATTAATCGCACATTTTTATCTATTCTAAATGTCTCTTCATTTCTTTTTGTCCTATTATTTTTTCTCATTTTAATGCTCTTATCAACATGGAAAAGTGGATCGGCTTGCTTTGTGCAAATGTTTTTTATTGGAAACAACATTGGCATATACTGTGTTCAATTTCACACTAACATTCTCACTTGGAGCAAATAATCTCTCACACAATGTAACACTGTCCATCAATAAAAGGGTGAAAGAAATACTGACGAGGTCCTGATATTGACGAGCGGGCAGAGAATTCGCATCAGCTGTGTGTGTGTGTGTGTGTGTGCTGGTCATCATCAAGTGGTGTTTCAGACTGGACGTGCTGCGATGATGATAGCTCAGTTCACAACGACAAAACACACAGATCACTTTGGTCTTGTCAATGGAACCATTTGGCAACTTTTTAAAAGTAACTTTCAATTCAGAATCTTATTGGCATCCACTTCGGCGTCTCACGCTCGTCATCCACTCAAAACGTAACGTTAACCTACTATTTGGCCGGCTCGCAGACCCAAACAAGTGTGTGCGGCGTGCCTGTTGTTTTGTTTCCGGTCTAGCTAGATCCGCTTGCGCTTTGGTCGACAAAGCAACAAAACGTCCTCGCGCAGCGCGAGCCATGGAAATGAATGGGTTTCATAGCGGTTTCAAAAACTACAAAGTTTGCTAGGCCAAATAGACCGTTAAAAAATTAACGCCGCTAATAACGCGTTTAACTGACAGCCCTAATATATATATATATATATATATATATATATATATATATATATATATATATAAACAAGTATAACGTATAAACAAGTCACATATAATCAAACATGTCAGGGGTATATAGAAAGAAAGAATAATTTATTTTCTGGTAAATCTTAAAACAGTTGCACAATTCGTATCAGTGTTATTTTAGTATTATTGAGATGCTATTATAGATTATTAATATCAGTTTTTATTGTCATATTTTGTATTCATGTCAATTGTAGTTAATTTAATTAGTTTCAGTCATTTTGTTGTCCTTTTATGTCATTTTTAATAGTTTTGGGCTTTTTTATTGTTTTTTTTTAATATAGTTTTTTTTTATATTAAGTTTAAATTCAGTTTTAGTTTTGTTAACAATTTATTTTAAGGTGACGTAGTTACACATTACTATATGTACTTTCTATAGTAATAACATTAAATTAAGCATAATTACAAGTAACTTACACTAAACCACACCCTAATTACTTATTTGAGTATTGTATTATTTAAGTACAATGTAACTACGTCACCTTAAAATAAAGTGTAACCCAAGTTTTAATTTTACTACATCCAGTTAAAATAAATTACAATAAGAAATGTTGAAATAAAAGTAGATGAAATAAAATGTTTCAGTTAACATTTATTTTATTAGTAACAAAAATTTGTGAATAAAAAATACTCACATTATTCCGGTTGGTGTGGCGGGTTCATTGGGGAAGATTTCCTTCAGAATATCTCCTCCGTCCACGGATGCTTCCTCAATGGCCGATGCCGTCTCCTCCACCACCTGCTGATTAGAAGAAAACTCTAATAGTAAGAGACTTTGCACCATAAACCGAGGCCTGATGACTCTATTGTGATGCTAACTGTATTTTTCCTGTCCAAGTGCAGGTGTAAGTGTACTTTAGAGCGCTGCCGGCTGCTGGTCCTGGTGGTGACTGGAGTCTTTCCTCTGCTCCGGACCGGCTTCGTCACTACAGGAACCGGCTCAGGTACTGGATCAATTTCTGACAATCAAATACAGAGCAAACTTGGTGAAAAGGAGAAATAATATGACCATAAATATTTAACTTTAAGTCTTCAATTGTCACAACTAAATGTTTATGTTTGATAAAGAAAAAAGTGCTTGTCTGGAGTCTGGTCACATGCAAACTCTGATAGCTTAGTAAAATAACAGCACACCTCTCCTTAACAATAGGGCTGTAGCGATACACTAATCTCACGATACGATACGATACACGATATTCGGCTGACGATACGATATATATCACGATATTCAGCCAACGATACGATTCGATATAATTCGATACACTTACATCATTTTCTGAAAGATTTAAAGGGGACAGAGTGATTTTGGTGACATCTTGTGAGTCTTCCATTTACTTGGATTGAATTAATTGAACTGAAAACTGAAAACATCATTTACACAATATATGTCTCTGACTGGGCAGAGAGTACAGCTTGCAAATGCTGGACAAAATGAATCAAATATGTGTAGAGAAAATTAGTTCTATTTATTGAAAGACAACAGTGCAAACTGTAGCTTATAAGCCTTTGTTAATTGCAATACTGCACTTTATTTACTTTTTAATGGAGAGTTAAAAGGTGCAGCAAGTGGCCTGTTGTGAACAGTTTCTTTGCACTGCCTTTTCTTTGACAGCTTTTTTAGCTTGACACTGAACATGTGACGTGCTTCAGTTGTGCGCGAGGTCAAGCCGTCGCACGTCAGGGAAACTCTCTCCGCGCTGGCCAGGGAGGCTTTGACGTGTGCTCTTGCCTGAGTGTACAGCCTGGGAATGCAAACCTTGATGAGGTGTTCGCGGGTTGGAATAGGATAGCGGGGCTCCATCGCGTTCACCATGCGCCTAAAGCCGGCGTTTTCCACCACCGAATAAGATTTTTTTTACATTTTTTTTTTTTTTACTAATTCTATTTAAAATCGTATTTGATTGCAGAGCGCCGCAGCGCATTCACGCAGCACTACCTCGCTCTCGCGCTCTCTCTCTCTCTCTCTCTCTCTCTCTCTCTCACACACACACACACACTCATCCGTACCTCGCGCACTTTCTCACTCACGGAACACCGCTGCACAAATCTGTCCAACACAGCGCTGTCAATTTCGGAGACCCAGCTTTAAAAAAAGCTACTAGCCAGCATGCAAGGAGCCTAGCCAACAAGGAGAGCTAAGTTGTTGTTTGAATACAGCTGGATTTTCGTCAATATCGATGCACGCGCGCAGCTGGCCACTAGCGGCTGGCTGACCAAATCACTCTTCATGCAACGCGAACGGGTTTAACACGGGGGATTTGAATGGGACTTATGTATCGATACTCGCGGCCTAAAAATCGATACTTTCTTGGGAGAAAAAATATCGATTTATATCGCAGAATCGATAAAATCGCTCAGCCCTACTTAACAAGCTACAGCATTTAAGCTGGTTAGTAGATGACTTAAAGCTCACGACTAAAAACACAACTTATGCCCATATTTTTGGCAGATATACAGACTGGATGCGTCAACACTAGTTGCCGAATATCAAAGCCAGTCTGCAGATTTTGGTCAGTCAGAGTTGACAGATTTCACTGAAAATAGCGGACTCTAGATTTTTAGCTTCAGACTCTGATTCAATCCAGTTGATGAGATCAAACATGTTTGATATTTTGAGCCGAACACATTTTGTTTTCATTGGTCACGCAACGAGACACATGTTTCTGCATTAATATAATGTGTTCTGAATGACTTGAAAGTGTGTTACACCGTGTCCTAACCAGACGCGATGCGATAAGATTCCAGCGACAAATAATTTGTCTGTCCACGATAGACGCGACTGCGAGATACGTCAAAATCAATCAAAACCCACAGCCAATCAGAACAGCGTGTGGGCGGAGTCTCGCGGCAAGTGCACAGCACCAGAGAGTAATCTTGACGGCACTCGCAAGAAAATGGATAAGTAGGCTACATAATCAAATTCACAAATATTACACCATTTAAACATTATTAAAAATACATAGGCTACCGAGTTACTAAAACAATCTTTGTCAAAGAATACACTTGTTTGTTCACAGTTTGAATGTTCTTGTTTCCATTTGTTTAATTTCAAGATCTGAGGTGAATTATCCATTGTTGCTTTTACAGCTACAAAGCCAGGAACACTAAATGATATTCAAAGTCACATTGCATGCTTTTAACATTAAATAAGCACATAAACAGTACCTGAGATTCTCATTGCCACACTTTGTGTTTGTTGTTCCAGCACGACGTGGCGATAAAATAGAAACCGTTTCTAAAATAGAATCGCTGTGTCGCCGTCACCGCTGGTTAGGATTAACATGGAAAAAAGACGGCTTTTATCGCACGTCGCGTGTAATTAGGACACGGTGTTAGTGTGATCCTCAGTCATTTAGTGCAGCGGTCCCCAACCTTTTTTGCGCCACGGACCGGTTTAATGTCAGACAATATTTTCACGGACCGGCCTTTAAGGTGCTCCTAAAAACGCGTAGAAAACGCTAGGCGCGAGGTTGCACTCCGCAGGCGTCTGTCGTTGCTAAGCAACCATCAGCTGCGCTCTCCGTTACAGCAAGGAAATTTCAGCAATGGATTTCCACCACCGAAAAACCCTTGCTGTAACTCTGTTACAAGATTTATTTACTAAGAAGAGTAAAAAAAAAAAAAAACCTGCAGTGTTTGGGTGCAAGACCGTGCAACCGATACTACAAAACCGCAAAAACCATGGGGAATTTCACCAGCTGATTCAGGAGCTCCGCCTGGACAATGGGAGGTTCAAAGCCTATTTCAAAGTGGACAAGGACCAGTTTGATTATATTTTAAGAAAAGTTGGCCCAAGCATCAGTAAACGGAGCTTCTGCCGTGAAACTAACTTATCTCTCCTGCGCAACGGCTCTGTATTTGTCTGAGGTTAGACTATAACTGAAGTGGTCATAAAACACCAGAAATAGCAAACACATACACATTTATATATAGAATATAGAACAATTCTGTATAAACAATGATGGATTTAACAAGGAATCAGTTGTGAGCATTAATATTTTTAGTACAAATATTTTTTACTAGTAACTAGTGCAGCAGTTTACAGTGTGGAAGATGATTGGTTGGTTCTTGTCACGTGACCTACAGTGCGCTTGCGGCATTCTGGAAAGTTGAGATGTTTTTATCTCGATGCGGCGCGGACGCGCTTGGAAAAAACGGGCGCGTCGCTTCCATTATGAGCGCCCATATCACGCGCCTACATTTGAAATCACAAACTTGAGCGCGCAAAAGACACAATATGTGAACAGGTAAATGTGTGAATAAATAAAACGGAAATAATGTAAGTTATTTATTCTTTCTGTGCGGCCCGGTACCAAATGACCCACGGACCGGTACCGGTCCGCGGCCCGGGGACCCCTGATTTAGTGTATGATGCCCAGTTTTTCCTCTTCAACCATTTATAAAGTCAGCAATTGTATGATGCCTAGCGTTTTAAAATCAGTAGCTGATATACTGGAACGTGCACACGCAGACAGCTCGACTGGATATTTGGCTACTTGACTCGATTATCCCTGCTTTACCTTCTTCTTTGTCGCTGTACTGATCTTCAGCTGAATGCGTGTTGCCGTTCTGGTTTCCGTCTGCTTTGATGGTGATGGCCTCTGGGATCGCGGTCTTGGGTTCAGGAAGGATATTCTCCAGCGGCGGATGCTCCAGGAACTGCTGGAGTTTCTTCTCATACACCTTACGTGTCGTTGCTGAGATGCAGAACCAGACATATGAGAATACAATGCAAACCTACACATATATATATAGGACATTCATATTGGGTGATTAATATTCACAAACACAATCAGGCTGTGGAAAACCTTAATACTAACCAACAATTGGTCCTGTATTGACTCCATACTTCAGAAGCTGAACCTTCAACTCTTCATCAGTCAATCCCAAAAAGTCGTTCTCCTCAGCCCGAACTCTGTCAGTCTTTCTTGTGGCTTTCTGGAGGTTAAGGAAACATCAGAAGCAAAATACATGTTATTGTTTTATTTGTACCTACATCATAGTTTATATTGATTATTAAATATTATTGTGTTGGAAAGCATGTTTTATTGTGGTAGACTAGTATGAAATGGTTATTGGGTCAAAAAGCAATATAAATATATGTGAAATGTTTTAATGAGACAAATAAAACAGTAAAAAAAAAAAAAAAACGGAAAATTATTGTGAAAACCAGCATTTGTGAAATCTCTAATTATTAGCATGCTCATAATTTTGATTATATATAGGATTATAATAATTGTATCATATATAATGATTCCCATCTGCTCCAGCATCCATCATAATTATGAACAAGCATGATTTTGATTGTCATAAGACTAATGTTTGAGCTCTCACCCTCCCCGAGCGGCTTCTGTCGGACACCAGCGGCGCTGTCATCTCCTCATCACTGGAGAAAGTGTCCTGAGCGGGAGGAGAGAGGCTCTTCTTGTTGAGCACGGTCAGGTTCTTCAGATACAGCTGAACATAGACGTCTTTCTTGCTGTCAGCGCTCGGTAGAGGAACATTATTGGCCAGTAACTCACTCTTCAGTTTCTCTTTAGTGAGCAGCGCCGGATCCTCGTGAAATTGCGCCATGCTTATTATCTTTACCAGAGTACAGTATGAAACACGGGTTTTACTTACGAAATGCAAGTGTAATTACTTATTTTCCTGTTTTAAAAGTGCAGCGGTAACTTGTGTAAGCCCCCGACCGAGAATAAATGAAAGTAAAAGATGGCTCGCGCTGACAACCGTCAAACCGGCTCGCGCCTTCCGTTTGAATGTCCTCCTAGGGGTTTTACGACAAACACAGCTGTCTGTTACATCCAAAAATTGATTTTTTGGAAGTTTGAACATCGAATCTTGTGGATAAATAAAAACAACTCTGCTAAAATACGCAAATAAGCGGTTTTGCGAAGGCGGGTAAAAGTAGAAATAGCTCGACGGCTATCGTGCGCGCGCGCCTCGGAACTGGCACAGTGGAACAAAGCTCAACGCTCATTGGTCGAATGGGTTAAGTAAGGCGTTCTCCTATTGGTCGACGCGGAAGAGTGACAGACGCTGGTCCAAAACAAAGAGGCCGACACAGAGCGACAGCTGCAGCATATGGTGTCCGTCTGCAACATACACTTGAATTTACAGCAGCTTTCTTTACAATAAACTGTGTTAACTCGGTTGAAAGGCCTGTAAAAAAATAAGACTGGAACATTATTATGAGTTTAGTTCAACAGAAAACGTAGGTGGGGATTTTGACAGGGTTGTATATTTCATAATAAAAGACTAATACAAAGTGGGGGAGGGGTATCTTAAAAAAATACCATGGCACATGAATATGGTCATTATTCAGATTTACTGTTAAGAAATCATGGTATTAAATGGTATTTTGTAAGCATGAAGGAGTGTAAACCCTATAAAGCCTACAGTATTGTGTTTCTAAGACCTGAAAATTATCAAAATGATATAAACTGCTGAAAAGTTTTGCTTCTACATGCATTTCTTCCTCTGTTTGATAGTTGAGACTCTTTTTAGCTATAAAAAGGGCTTTTAGTATTTTCAGTATTTTTTCTATGAAATATTTAATGATTTTTACTGAATACCATTGTGTTTGTTAAATTTTCCCTTAAAACGTTCAAACGTCAGACTAAAAATGTACATGGTAAGACTAAATCCTTCTATGTAGGAAGATTAACTCAATATAGAGGAATTACAGCATAGCATCCTACCTAAAGATGGCAGCATAAGCCTTATTAGACCAGGCTCTACAGTAACAGGACAGACGCATAAGGTCAAATGAACCGTATTTAGCAGCAAATCCGGTACAAATCTGGTCTTGTGGTATGTATGACACACATGGAGAGGTGCGAAGTATTCAGCACTGTAAAGTAAACACAGATGAAATACACATGTGAAGCCAGTAATAGTCTTAAGTCTAAAATCTTAAAGTCAACATGAAATCAAAATTGATCTATTTACTTTCTTATAATGCATGCTCCTGCGAACACTGCACATTATTCTAAAGAAAAATCGTATTTATTGTCAAAACACTTGCTCTGCATCTAAAATAATATTCCTTTTCAGCTGACCAAGCCTTCTAAAAGATGCAATCACTTCATGAGGGATAAAATCACCATGTATTTTTTTCATTTAATCTTTAATTGACATTACGGGTGTGTTCACACTTGGCATGTTTGGTTGGATTAAAACAAACCCTAGTGCAATTGCTCTGTTAGTGCGGTTCATCTGAATAAGTGTGAACGCTGCCATCTGAACCCTGGTGCATCAAACACACGGACTGAACGCTGAAAAGATGAGTCTCGCTCCACTTCCAAACAACCTCGTGCGGATCAACTGAAATATGAATGCCAAAGAAATGTAAACGAAGCAAAAACAGGACATGATGTCACAAGATGTGACCCTCAAAAGGACATTTTATAAGCTCTTCACGAGTTCTCAGCTGGACAAAATACCATCATATGTAGCTACACACACACACACACACACAACGAGTGTATTTATCCCAGAACACAGCATTGTTTTGGATGTTCGGTAAGTTCAGTCGCAAAATATACGTCATAAAAGCCAAACAATCAGGTTGCGAAGATCCCTATGCCTTTAGGTTTAGGTTTAGGTGTTATGCCAATGTGAACGCTAAGCGGACCAGGTCTAAATGTTTTCTGGTTGTTGTTTTTTTGGTCCGAACCAAGCGAACCGAACTACAAGTGTGAACACACCCTGAATGGGTGATATGAGTAAAACTTTAAACAAAAGGGGGGGGGGGGGGGGGTGGAGAGAAAGACTAAATGTGGCTCCCTTCAGGAGTTTCCAATCGATCTTTTTTAAATTCTTTGTCCAAATATCTCTTGGACTGATCCGGGCTCGTTTCCACTCATCTCAGGTTCACGGTCTCCACGCGCATAATGAACATGAGCTTGTGTGCGGGTGTGGATGTATGTGTTGGTTTTGACCACTGTCTGGTCTTCCTGGATTCCAGCTCGGTGTGGTTTAGGTCGGGCACCCTGGATCTCCGTCGCGAGAGCTGGTGATTTCGCCCCGCGCTTATGTTTCTGGGATATAGCTGAATTATGGCAACGGTGCCCAAAACCACACAGATTTTAACGCTTAATCTTCAGTTAAAGCTTTTCCAAGAGAGCTCTGCCAGTGAAAAGTAGAGAGGGAAACTTTGAAAATGTTGAGCTCTTAAGAAACACCCTTTCTGTCTTTATTGTATTTCATTTATACAGAAAACAGTCCTCCGGCCAAGCACCACATAAAAGTGTCTTTTAAAGCATAACAGTGGTGCCCTCAGGAAAGGGATCTGAGAGAAACTAGGCAATTATCAACATCGGGGTGTATAAAAGTGGTTTTGAAAAAGGAATGCAGTGTAAACTGTAGCAGGGTGATGACATGTTCAAACGTATAAACTGTCCAAGCGTGTGCGTTTTCCAAATCAAACAATCTTCGAATTGTATTTACTGTACATTTTTGTTTAATGATGGAATATGAGAATGCTTATGCATTGTGAACACTGAAGTAACAGCATCTGCAAGATGGCAGTCAGTCACATTTTGCACGTCTAATGTCAACATGTTATTAGGTTTCAGTGATCAAAATATGATTATCTTGAAATGCAATTGTCGTTTGATACACGTTGCATTGGCAGGGGGTTTAACTGCATATTGACAATAGGAAATCAATGCTGTAAAATGCAAAAAATTGCAGCTTACACTTAAAACTAAACTTTCCTAGTCCAAGAACTGACTGAGAGACTGTAGTACTTTTCAGCACGCAGTTTAGTCTGTCCATCACACAACCTCTGTCAGCATATGTAAAAACTGAAAATTTCATATGGTTTGTGGCTTATAACCATATTTTAACATAAAACGCCTTCTAGAATGTATTTGAGAGGTATTTTCAAAATGTTTGAGAGCTAGAAAACATTCAGATCTTTTCTTAAAGGTGAAGTGTGTGGTATTTCTATGTTAATATGCATAGACAACTATAAGTAAGCCATTTGTAGGTTGATTTTGCCATAAAAGTGTAAACACTGTGGCTCTGTGGTGCTTTCAAAGCATTGCTCTGTTTGTTTGAGCATCTCGACCAGCCCAACACAGCAACACTGACTCAACCAATGCTGAGGCGGGACTGTTTGTCCGTTTGTGATCAAATGTTTCAAAAACGTGAGCTTTTTAACAGTGCATTACAATTACATACAGACAGTTGCAATATCAACTGCAATTAAACAAAAGAGATGTGAGAGTGTTTTTGCCCTGTTTACTCCTGGTATTAAGATGCGTTTTGGTCGATCGGATCACAAGTGGACGACACTAAATACAGGTGTAAACAGGGTCTAAAACATTTTGAGCTTGTCCACTTTCGACACTTCCAGAGGGAGTTCAAAAAAACACATTAGACCAGATTGCTTTCGTTGTGTAAACACTCATGTGATCGAATGTGTTCAAACAGCCACAAAAGACTAGCCAGGTTAAAACCAGACGATTCTCAGTTGTAACTGAGTTATGGTCTGGCAAAGCGTCATAGACAAATCATTTCCAGAGGGGCGTCCCCAACGGACGTTGCGGATAGACCTAAACCCAATCAGAGCGATGAAGGAGATGACGTATGCAGAGCGGCGGAGACACATCTCCGAGTGTTGTTCTTTGCTCGGTTTTTAACTAAAAGGAAACGTTCAAATCGCTTAAAACAGACGCGATAGCTGATTCCAACGAGTGATGTTCGACGGCGGCATCCATCTCTGTAATGTAGGCTACAAAATCTGCTTCAAAATCCCAGCGCTGTCGTCATCGTGTAAAGCCCGCCCCAACGTTTCTGATTGGTGCCTCGATTTCGGCGGATTGGAAATGGGCTTGAATGAGCTCTTTGCCAGACTAACTTTCAGAGCAAATCTAAATTTGCCTGAAGTTGTCTGGGTTTTCCCAGGCAAACAAAAGACCGTCTTCTCTCCGTCTACTGATCTAATGAGTAACATTATGAGAAGAGCTCGAGCCAGACGGGATTTAAACTGTCGTCTGGAGACCCAAGTTTGGTTTGAAGATGAAAAACGTACCAAGCACAATGTTCTCTCTCCATTCCTGATTTCTAACACACTCTCAGCGTTCGGCTGGTCTTGTGTCTGTCAGAGCAGAAACTAAAGCTGATGCTCACTGTGTGTTTTTCCGTTGCCTTCGGTCGTGTTCATATGTAAATTGCACAAGCTTATTTCATCCATTAGATTGAAAGATCTGAAAAAGTCCATACATTTACCCGCCCACAGACCCTCCCCTCGAAGAAATCAGGATATGAAGGGGTTGAAAATGGACAAAAGAGACGGATTAAAACACCAGGTGTAAACGGGAATGTGTCTCCCTCGTCTACTTGTGATCCGATCGAGCAAAACACATCTTACAATGTATCACCGCCTCTGTGTAGAGCATTAAAAGACACATAGACGTTAATCTTGACCAGCGTACAACAAGCAGCGTCTCAAAGGTTTGTATTCATGTCTAATTAGAATCAGGCCCTTGGTGTGGCGCTGATTGAGAGGCAGCTTTTCACAGGCACTGAATGGATTTGTCCTGGCTTGGAAAAACCAAGTACAGTATATTTCCCCTGTTGACAGTCCAAACTGTGCTTATAGGACACACACCTCGATGTCAACTCTCACTACAGAGAAAGTGAGACTCCTTTTCCCGAAGCCTGCCAGTCCAGCTCTTTATGAACAGCGTGCCAAACAAGTTCTCCATTTATTTGTTCAATTATTATGTGAATTTTTGCTGTTTTGTTTGGCTGGTGTTGACGGAGGTCAGCTCGTGTCAATACTGGGTTGTACTCAAAGGCAATACGAACTGTCAGGTGTTTTTATGAGGCCTTGAGTGGGCACAAGGGCAAAGTCGCCACCCACGCCCACCTACTGTGTGCAGGCTGGACGTTTTCCACCGAACCAATCCATGGGGGCCGTCTGGTCATATGACCATGTATATTGTGACTTCCCCAT